GGGGGGGGGGGTGGGTTAGTAGTGTAAAACTTCTATAGGGCTCAGTTATCTTTATCTGGAAAATAAGTTTTTCTTGTAAAATTCATCCAGATACTCAGCTTAAAACTGAAATCATTCTTGCAAGGTTCCAACGAGTTTCAAAATCATAATTTGAGGCAAATTGGTCTTGAGGTTCATTAGTTATGATAATTTATTTTTTAAACCTTTAGATCAAATACACTGCAAAAAACGCTTTTACATCATTAGATTTATCTAAGGCATTTAACGGAAAAATTACATGTTAGATAAATCGCACACTCCTGTTTTGCGATGTATCAACAGTAGCTTTATTTATTATTTATATCGCACAGAATGTGCAATATATCTTACAGTACTTTTACGTTAAATGCAATAGCGTTTTTGTTGCAGTGTAGTCTATGTTTGAAATATCAAAGGTTTACACCATGATATGCATCGATTAGAAAATTTGCGTCGAAAAATAATCGATGACTACTGTTTGTAATATCTGAATGATTTGTTTGGAATTGAATTGATTTGTTTACGATCCGAGTTGAATGTTGCATCTTTCTGAATTTGTATGGACGCTACGTTTTTCGGTGTGAGTTGTTTTTAACAATTTTCTCCTTATAGATGCAACAGATAGAAGTAAGATTAGTAGCGATCAAAAGCGCTTTTTTATCGCATTGAGCCTATACCCCCTTTCATTTTTCGCGAACACTCCCTTTAAATCTAGTCCGTCGTCGGAATTTCGAGTGGCAATCAATGATGTGAAAGATATAATTGTTTTTCTACACGTAAAGTGTTTAAAAGTTGCATGTTTTGTTGATAAAGTGCATAGAAAACGTTGGTTACTTTCTTTCTTGACCACGATTAAAATAATCAATATTTAAAGAGAAAATGATGAATTTCTCATGAATTCTTTAACAGGTGCACCTTTTTAAGGGTACTGTTGGAATTGGACATACCACATGGGAGAGTCATTAGAAATTACTTCCACATTTTCTTTAAATTCTCTCTAAGCGCTTATCCCTAACAAGTAGCACTATGTCTTGCCAGGCTACATTTGTTACATAAAACGTGCTAGGTCGACTCTACACTAGGTAGTTCAGACTGGACAGTACGACTGAATGCATACATGTTGTACCGGCTCGAATGATATGCTACTTTAGAGTGGTGTACTAAGTTACAAACAATTGTTGACTGAAGTGCAGTGTGGGGTGAGATGTGACCATTTTCCAGATCAGAATATTGTGATGAGATTGAGAGAGAGAGAGAGAATGAAGATGGAGGAATTCTATTCCCTGAACAGGAATACATAAATTGAGAACAAAACAGGTTTAACGAGACAATAGAGGAAAGTTAGACTGAAAACATATCTTTACACTATACAGCAAAGGATAGATATTATAAAGAGGTTTTAAACCGGTTTTGTATTTAGAGAAACCACTTGCAGATTTAGGTCAAATTTTCAGTCAACAAAATAATCTGGATAGAATAAATGCCTCATTTTGCCTAATATACAAGGTTACCCACAAAGGATGAGACTTCACAAGTGACTGTATACAGCATGTATACCGTCTGTTTCTTTATAATCATTCAATTACAATTGGGATCTAAATATTTAACGAGTTTTAGGTCGTCTGTATAGTCTCATCCTTTGTGGGTAACCCTGTAGTCTGAATGTATTGTACACTGTGCAACATGCTGTAAACTGCAATAACTCAAGTGAGCCGAAGTTTACCATTACAAAATCAAACGCTTTTCGCAAGTCAAAATCCTATCTTCACAGTTTGCGTCCGTGAATAAAAGTGTTTGTGTGTGTGTGTGTATGTGTAGGGTTAGACTGAGAGCAAATATATGGATAGAACCATTCTTCACATTCCTTACATTTTTCTCCGAGAACACTTGAACGAGATATTTACAATGGAGCCAATTAGTTGGGCACAGAACCAGAGATATCAAGATATCTGTAGAGCTTGGAGAGAAAACATATTATTGTTAAAGGATTCTAAACCTGTGTTATAAAAGATTTAAATATTTATTCTTTAAAACCGTTAAAACACTTAATAAAATTTATATAAACTTGAAAGTCGTCTTTGATTTCTGATAGTTAAGTGATGAAAGTAAAAAAATCTAGACTGTACGTCTGAAGAGCTTTTCATAAAGTGGTCTACCTTTCTTGTATCTTAAAAATTGACGACGATATTAAATATCAAGACAATTTTGATTTATTCAATAAATTGAAATTTGTACAATAAATCTGCAATTTTGAAGATACAAAAATGGAAAACCACATTTTGAAAATCTCAAGACCTATCTTTTTCAATATTATTTGTTTAAACTTGAATACTGCAATAATTGTGATCGTGACAAAATGCTGAATGGATTGAAGACGATATGAAAGTCGTCACTGAATTCCCATGTGTATTGGGACACCCTACATGTATGCATATATAAATTAGTAAATCAACTCGTAGTTACTATTTTTCAACTTGTTTATTGTGTTTATTATCATAAACATGTTTTTAAAAGTGTTGCGTTCCTTTAAATCTCATAAATTCAGTTAAGAATCAGTGTATTTTTAGGGGTAGGGTACAGGGTAGTTGGGTGACAGGGTGATGGGGGTAATAGGGTGTCAAAGTGGTGGGGCATAAGGGTACAGGGTGACAGGGTAGAGGGGTGACAGGGTAGAGGGGTGACAGGGTAGAGGGGTGACAGGGTGACAGGGTAGAGAGGTGACAGGGTGACAGGGTGTTGGTGTTGTGAGGGTAGATTATTATTCTTGTCACAACCTTGATTAGAATTTTAGAATAGAAACAAGAGAAGAATAGTCACTTTCTATACAATAATATCCAGGATACTCTATACAATAATATCCA